ATATTATATTATATTATATTATATTATATTATATTATATTATATTATATTATATTATATTATATTATATTATATTATATTATATTATATTACATTGCGTTGTATTATGTTACATTATATTATATTCTATTACATTATATTACATTATGCTATATTATATTATATTACATTAGATTAGATTATGTTAGATTAGATTATATTAGATTAGATTATATTAGATTAGATTAATTAGATTATGTTATGTGATGTTATATTTTATTAGATTAGATTAGATTAGATTAGATTAGATTAATTAGATTATGTTATGTGATGTTATATTATATTAGATTAGATTAGATTAAATTAGATTAGATTAGATTAGATTAATTAGATTATGTTATGTGATGTTATATTAGATTAGAATTAGATTATGTTATGTGATGTTATATTAGATTAGATTAGATTATATTAGATTATGTTATGTGATGTTATATTACATTATATTAGATTATATTAGATTAGATTAGATTATATTAGATAATGTTATGTGATGTTAATTAGATTAGATTAGATTACAGTTCAATTAATATTACAGACTAGTTAATATTAAATTAACCTTGACCCCCAAACAACATCCAATCACTCTCCACCTACACCCGCACACCCCCCACCAACACCCCAACAACAACACCCTCCCCTCCGGGTGACACCCGTCACCGTTTTTAACCCTTTCCCCTCCTTTTCACCCCAAATCTGTGTCACCCCCACAAACAACACCCTCCCCTCCGGGTGACACCGTCACCGTTTTTAACCCTTTCCCCTCCTTTCCACCCCAAATCTCTGCCTGTTCCCAGATGCTGCTCCACCTGTTCAGCGACGCCAACTACAACCTGCTGGGCTTCAACGCCACCTGGGAGCTGTCGCTGTGCCCGGCCGGCTGTAGGGGCCGGGGGCTCTGCCTGTCCCGGGGGCTGTGCCGCTGTTCCCCGGGCTGGGGGGGCTCCGACTGTTCCCAGCCCGCCTGTCCCGACACCTGTCACCCGCCCCGGGGAACCTGCAACAAGGTGAGAGGGGGTTTGGGGGTGTTTTTGGGGTGTTTTGGGGTGTTTTTGGGTGTTTTTGGGGTGTTTTGGATTTTTTTAGGATTTTTTTTGGGTTTTTTTGGGTGTTTTTGGGGTGTTTTGGGGTGTTTTTGGGGTGTTTTTAGGTTTTTTGGGTGTTTTTGGGGTGTTTTTGGGGTGTTTTGGGGCTGTTCCCCGGGCTGGGGGGGCTCCGACTGTTCCCAGCCCGCCTGTCCTGACACCTGTCACCCGCCCCGGGGCACCTGCAACAAGGTGAGAGGGGGTTTGGGGTGTTTTTGGGGTGTTTTGGATTTTTTTAGGATTTTTTTTGGGTTTTTTTGGGTGTTTTTGGGGTGTTTTTGGGGTGTTTTTAGGTTTTTTGGATGTTTTTGGGGTGTTTTGGATTTTTTTAGTGTTTTTTTTGGGTGTTTTTGGGGTGTTTTTGGGGTGTTTTAGGGGTGATTTTGGGGTGTTTTTGGTATTGTTTAGGATTTTTTTGGGGTGTTTTTGGGTGTTTTTGGTTGTTTTGGATTTTTTTAGGATTTTTTTTGGGTTTTTTTGGGTGTTTTTGGGGTGTTTTGGGGTGTTTTTGGGGTGTTTTTAGGTTTTTTGGGTGTTTTTGGGGTGTTTTTGGGGTGTTTTGGGGCTGTTCCCCGGGCTGGGGGGGCTCCGACTGTTCCCAGCCCGCCTGTCCCGACACCTGTCACCCGCCCCAGGGAACCTGCAACAAGGTGAGAGGGGGTTTGGGGTGTTTTTGGGGTGTTTTGGATTTTTTTAGGATTTTTTTTGGGTTTTTTTGGGTGTTTTTGGGGTGTTTTTGGGGTGTTTTGGGTATTGTTTAGGATTTTTTTTGGAGTTTTTTTGGTGTTTTTTGGGTGTTTTGGATTTTTTTAGGATTTTTTGGGGTGTTTTTGGGGTGTTTTAGGGGTGTTTTGGATTTTTTTAGGATTTTTTTGGGTGTTTTTGGGGTGTTTTTGGGGTGTTTTGGATTTTTTTAGGATTTTTTTGGGTGTTTTTGGGGTGTTTTGGGATTTTTTCGGATTTTTTTGGGTGTTTTTGGGGTGTTTTTGGGGTGTTTTTAGGTTTTTTGGATGTTTTTTGGGGTGTGTTTGGGTGTTTTTGGGGTGTTTCAGGGGTTTTGGGTGGTGTTTAGGATTTTTTGGGGATTTTTTGGGGTGTTTTTGGGGTGTTTTTGTGGTGTTTTTGGGGTGTTTTTGGGGTGTTTTGGGGCTGTTCCCCGGGCTGGGGGGGCTCCGACTGTTCCCAGCCCGCCTGTCCCGACACCTGTCACCCGCCCCGGGGCACCTGCAACAAGGTGAGAGGGGTTTGGGGGGTTTTGGGTGGTTTTGGATTTTTTTAAGATTTTTTTGGGTGTTTTTGGGGTGTTTTGGGTATTGTTTAGGATTTTTTTTGGAGTTTTTTTGGGTGTTTTTGGGGTGTTTTGGATTTTTTTAGGATTTTTTGGGGTGTTTTTGGGGTGTTTTTGGGGTGTTTTTGGGGTGTTTTGGGTGTTTTTGGGTTATTTTTGGGGTTTTTTTGGGGTGTTTTGGGGCTGTTCCCCGGGCTGGGGGGGCTCCGACTGTTCCCAGCCCGCCTGTCCTGACACCTGTCACCCGCCCCGGGGCACCTGCAACAAGGTGAGAGGGGTTTTTGGGTGTTTTTGGGGTGTTTTTGGGGGTTTTTGGGGTGTTTTGGATTTTTTTAGGATTTTTTTGGGTGTTTTTGGGGTGTTTTGGATTTTTTTAGGATTTTTTTAGGATTTTTTTTGGTGTTTTTGGGGTGTTTTGGATTTTTTTAGGATTTTTTTGGGGTGTTTTTGGGTGTTTTTCGGGTGTTTTTGGGGTGTTTTTAGGGGTTTTTGGGACTTTTTGGGATTTTTTTGTGTTATTTTGGGGCATTTTTTGGGTGTTTTAGGGGTGTTTTTAGGTGTTTTGGATGTTTTTGGGGTGTTTTTGGGGTGTTTTTAGGTTTTTTGGGTGTTTTTGGGTTTTTTGGGGTGTTTTTGGGGTGTTTTAGGGGTGTTTTGGATTTTTTTAGGATTTTTTGGGGTGTTTTTGGGGTGTTTTGGGTGGTGTTTAGGATTTTTTGGGGTTTTTTGGGTGTTTTTTTGGGTGTTTTAGGGGTGTTTTTGGGTGTTTTTGCGGTGTTTTGGGTATTGTTTAGGATTTTTTGGGGGTTTTTTTGGGTGTTTTGGGTATTGTTTAGGATTTTTTGGATGTTTTTGGGGTGTTTAGGGGTGTTTTTGGGTGTTTTTGGGGTGTTTTGGGTATTGTTTAGGATTTTTTGGGGGTTTTTTTGGGTGTTTTGGGGTGTTTTGGGGGTGTTTTTGGATGTTTTTGGGGTGTTTTGGGGTTTTTTTGGGTGTTTTTGGGGTGTTTTTGGGGTGTTTTGGGGTGTTTTTGGGTGTTTTTGGGGGTTTGGCTCTTTTTAGTGACTTTTTGGGGTTTTTTTTGGATTTTTTTTGATTTTCGGGGGTTTTTTCCTTGATTTTTTGGGTTATTTTGGGGCTTTTTGGGGGGGATTTGTGGAGATTTTGGGCTTTGGGACCCCAAAACTTTTGGGATTGGAATTTTAGGACCCCAAAACTTTTGGGATTGAGGATTTGTGACCCCAAAACTTTTGGGATTGAAACTTTGGGACCCCAAAACTTTTGGGATTTAAATTTTAGGACCCCAAAACTTTTGGGATTTTGGGTTTTGTGACCCCAAAACTTTTGGGATTTTGGGTTTTGTGACCCCAAAACTTTTGGGATTTGAATTTTAGGACCCCAAAACTTTTGGGATTTGAATTTTAGGACCCCAAAACTTTTGGGATTTTGGGTTTTGTGACCCCAAAACTTTTGGGATTGAGGATTTGGGACCCCAAAAACTTTTGGGATTTGAATTTTAAGACCCCAAAACTTTTGGGATTTTGGGCTTTGTGACCCCAAAACTTTTGGGATTGGAGCTTTGGGACCCCAAAACTTTTAGGATTTTTGGCTTTTGGACCCCAAAACTTGGGATTTTTGGGCCCCAAAACTTTTGGGATTTGAATTTTGGGACCCCAAAACTTTTGGGATTGAAACTTTGTGACCCCAAAATTTTTGGGATTGGAATTTTGTGACCCCAAATCTTTTGGGATTTTGGGTTTTGTGACCCCAAAACTTTTGGGATTTTTGAGCCCCAAAACTTTTGGGATTTGAATTTTAGGACCCCAAAACTTTTAGGATTTTGGGTTTTGTGACCCCAAAACTTTTGGGATTGAAACTTTTGGACCCCAAAAACTTTTGGGATTTGAATTTTAGGACCCCAAAACTTTTGGGATTGAGGATTTGGGACCCCAAAAACTTTTGGGATTTGAATTTTAAGACCCCAAAACTTTTGGGATTTTGGGCTTTGGGACCCCAAAGCTTTTGGGATTGGAATTTTGAGACCCCAAAACTTTTGGGATTTAAACTTTGGGACCCCAAAACTTTTGGGATTGAAACTTTGGGACCCCAAAACTTTTGGGATTTGAATTTTAGGACCCCAAAACTTTTGGGATTTTTGGACCCCAAAACTTTTAGGATTGAAACTTTGGGACCCCAAAACTTTTGGGATTTAAATTTTAGGACCCCAAAAGTTTTGGGATTGATGATTTGGGACCCCAAAACTTTTGGGATTGGAGCTTTGTGACCCCAAAACTTTTGGGATTTTGGGCTTTGGGACCCCAAAACTTTTGGGATTTTGGGCTTTGTGACCCCAAAACTTTTGGGATTGAAACTTTGTGACCCCAAAACTTTTGGGATTTTGGGTTTTGTGACCCCAAAACTTTGGGATTTGAAACTTTGGGACCCCAAAACTTTTGGGATTTGAATTTTGGGACCCCAAAACTTTTGGGATTTGAATTTTGTGACCCCAAAACTTTTGAGATTTTTGGGCCCCAAAACTTTTGGGATTTAAATTTTGGGACCCCAAAACTTTTGGGATTTGAATTTTGTGACCCCAAAACTTTTGGGATTTGAATTTTAGGACCCCAAAATTTTTGGGATTGGGGATTTGTGACCCCAAAACTTTTAGGATGGAAACCCCAGAACCCCCAAATTCCTCCAGTGCCCTTTTTATTCCACCCCAACCCTTCCCCAAACATTTTTTTGGGGTCTCCCCCGTGCCAATTTTGGGGTTTTTTGGGGTCTCCCCCGTGCCAATTTTGGGGTTTTTTGGGGTCTCCCCCGTGCCAATTTTGGGGTGTCCCCCGTGCCGATTTTGGGGTTTTTTGGGGTGTCCCCCATCCTAATTTTGGGGTGTTTTTTTCAGGATTCGGGGCTGTGCGAGTGCCAGCCGGGGTTTTTGGGGTTCTCCTGTGAGCTGTCCCTGGGGGATTCTCGGGGTGAGGGTCGCTGGTACCGCCTCAGCTCCGGGGACCCCCAATTCCGACCCCGAACGGCGGCAGCCGGCGCCGTCCTGCCCGGGACCGGCATGCTCTACGTCTTTGGGGGTACACTGCGGGGTTTGGGGGGGTTTGGGG